CGGAGACACTTCCGGGTCACGTGGCCAGCGTGACAAGCTGCATCTGGCGAGCCAGAGCCGCACACGAAAACGCCGTTTACCTTCCCGCTAGTAAGCGGTCCCTATTTATCTACTTGCACTTAAGAGTGCTTTCGAACTGCTAGGTTGGCAGGCGCTGGGACCGAGCAACGGGAGCGCACCCCGCCGCGGGGATTCGAACCGCCGACCATGCGATCGGCAAGTCCTAGGCGCTGAGGTTTTACCCACAGCGCCACCCACGTCCCTACTGCTCAACCTACCCATTTATAAATAAGAAGATTATTACAACTTCCTGATACAGCCCCACTTGCTCAGGGGTATTTCCATGTTGCTACAGATTGTGGTTTTATGGTGTTACTGAGCTTTTAATTGTTGTACTGTATGTGCATAGAGCTAGTTCCTGGGTCAAGGCAAGGTACTTGAAATGGCAGAGTGTGCCTTAGAGCCTGAAGCCATCCAGTGAAAGTTCAACATAGACAAAAGAAAATATTTCTTCATACAGCACACAGTTAAACTAGGAAATTCACCCCCACTAAACGTAGTGATACTGTAGCTGTAAACTGGGATGGCTTCAAAAGAGGATCAGATAGAATCATGGAAGATAAAGCTATCAGTGACGACCAGCCATGATGGCTCTGGTCTGCATCCAGTGTTGGAGACAGTATGCCTCTGAATACCAGTTGCTGTGGGAATGGAATGCTGAACTAGATGGATCTTTGGCCCCATCCAGCGGGGCTCTTTCTTGTCTTTAGGGCAGATATGTTTATATAAATATGCTGTGATGGCTTTGCTAAAAAAGAAAAGAAAAGAAAGTGGCCATCTTCTTTCACATGAGTATAAAATCACGGAACTGTTGAGTTGGAAAGGACCCCAAGGGTCATCATGTCCTCCAACCCCCTGAAGTGCAGGAATCACAACTGAAGATTGGTGGAAACAATTACTTGTGCAACCTAAGTTTGCTTGTTTAAGTGAAAATTAAATTGAATCCAGTTGGATTTCAAAGTAAGCATATCTGTGGGTTTTTTTATGAGTCAGCAGCCACAGAAAGCAGAACTTGGTGACAGAAAGGAGATCTAACTTCATACTGTAATACAATATATTCTGGTTGCATTTCTCTCCTGGGATGCATTTCTGCTGTGAGATATATTTCAGGGGCTATTATTGAAGGCTGTGATTCAAAATCAGTTATACCATTTGGGGCCTTTTAAACACAGGTATAACCTATCCCTAGAGCAAGCCATACTCTTAAGCCACCATGAAATAAATGTCCTTAAAATTCTGGATCACCACAAGATAAATTTCCATAACAGCCCAATTTTCTGCTAATGGTTTTTTTCTCCCTAGTGAACTGACTTTTCTTGCTGTAAATTCTTAATCAATGCTCTTTAGGGCATTCTTCTTTAGGGCATCTTGTAAGATTTGTTCCAGTTAGTGATGGAATGTATAAGGATTCTTCACCTTTGTGTGTGATGGTGTCCTATTCACAAAAGTTTTCTTGAACCAGCAGGGGCTTCCATGAACAGAAGAGGGTTCGAGAACAGATTTTTCCCTTTTTTCTACAACTTCCTTGTTGGGGGAATTGTTGGAATAAACAACAGTATTCAGTTAACACCCACTGTACTGAGAAGCACAAACCACTGGGGATTAACAAATGTATGTGGGAGCAGGGCAGGGGCTTTCTAGAGTTTAGTTTCAGTTTTCTCTTTCCTTGCTTACCTTTGTTTGTAACTTGTAATGGCTGATCACAGGAATGAGTGAGGATTGCCTCCCTCCCCATTCCATTCATGGAAACCTCAGAGTCTTATGCAAGCACAGCGGTCTCTACCCTTGGTCTCTACACAATTATCCACATAACTGCTGCAGCAAATAATTCAGCTTCATTTGTAAAACTATTAATACTGACCTTATATAGCTACTACGATGCAAATATTTGTTGTTTTGAATTTACTTACAGGAAAATGTAGATTCAGCAAATGATGTGCACATGAGTGATTGTGGTCCAGATCCATGCATGCAAATTTATTATATGACTGGGATAAACCATGCACCCAAACCATACATCAAAGTTGTGAAATGTACTACAAATGCTTTAAAAATGTTGTACTGAAAACACTATAGAGGAGGATGCCTGGGAAACCATTTACTCTAGTTGTACCTGCCTACCAGCTTGCATCTGTACCATGCAGAGAGACATCTCAGTCAGATGACATGTGAACTGACCTAATGCTCCTGGTCTAGTTATTGATCAGGGAGAGCGCTGGAGCATGCATGTCAGTGAAACATGGCTTTTGGCATTGAAAGATAGTAAGCATAATGCTATTTATAGCACAAAAAGAGAAAGACTCATCTAATTATCTGCTTTGGTTTTGCCTAATTATAAAGAGCAAATGATGGAGATATGCACCATAGATCAGACATTTTGACTGACACTTTGCTAGAATGTTACATGGTAGCTCTGCATATGTAGCTTCAACAATACTGCCCAATTAAACACTAGCAAGCTCTGTGGAGGTTGTACACACAGCTCATCATCACTCCCAGGCTGGGCATCTGGTTGAGATATGAATCCAGAATAACCAGGTCAGATTATCCTACAGTACTGAAGACAGCACGGATGAGATCTTGTTTTTGGTATTACAAATTCCCTTTTTTTTTTACACACTGGGATTTTTGCAAGCATGATAGATTGCCCACTGTCGAGGTATTGAAATAAGCGCTCAGCTACCATTTTGCAAAGGTGGGCGCCATTTATGGCCCCGGCATCAGCACCTCCAATCCTCTTTGAGACTTCTCGGGTGTGGCCTGCCTTCCTGGCACTGTGGAGCGTTGGGGGTTCCCGCCAAACCACCTGTTCAAAACTCACCTATCTGTGGCGCCGTTGGGGGCAGGACAGCACCAAGAGGGCGGGCCGCAGGTGAGCAGGCTTCACTCCGGTCCGCCCCAGGGGCTTAAATTTGGGGCAGAGCGTGCGCTTAGCATGCATACAATTGGAGCCAGCTTCTCCGACTTGGGTTGTCCGGGGCTCAATTTTTTATCGAACAACACAGTTTGAAAGTGACACCTTGGGCTACTCTGGGGTAGCTGAGTTTATGGTCTCTAGCTTTTATAGGCAGGTCTTAAAATCAGTAATAGGCTCTAAAGAATTCTTAAGAGAGTAATGGGGAAGGGAATTGGATCTAACAGTTGATATACAGGGCTGGAACTTGCTGTGGAGCCTGTTGATAGCATTTGAAGTTTATATGCTTCAGCAGAAGCTGGAACTGTGCACTGAAATCCCTGCTAGGAGGAGCTCACTTTACCCTTAATACAATCACACCAAGACTTTGAGTACAGAAAATAAAAAAACTAACTTTATTATAGGACATACCCATGAGAGAGGAAAAAATCCTAGTTCTAGCTAACACAGTGGAGATGCAAAGAACCTTGTTTGCTCTTTCATCACTGCAGGAAAAGGGGGAAAAGAAAAGATGGTGCAGCAATAAAACTGCTAGCACAAACCTCTATGATTGCAAATTGGGTGGGGGACCACATGTTGAGATTGCTTCATTGCAGGGGGTTGGACTAGATGACTCTCAGGGTCCCTTCAAACTCTATAATTCTATGATACTGTCTCTCTTTCACAAGGTGACATAAAGAGCCCTCATACCTCCTTCCCAGAGGCTGTAAGGAGGGTGTCGCCATGCTTACTGGGTATCCAAGGTACCAGGCTTTCAGAAGGAGGCGCAAGGGCTCCGGAAGCAGCCCAGAGCTCTCATGCTGTCTTCCCAAAGCCAAGTAAGTGAGAAATAAATAAATAAATAAATAAATGGAGAACAGAGAGCAGTGGGTTTCATTGGCCTGGCATTAGTTTTATTTATTTCCCCTCCCGCCACCTGTGTAAGGTTGCAATCACGATTGCATAAGCAAAGTGAGTGCAAGTTGTGGGCTTACTGTATCTACTAAATTGAAAGAGCAATTCCTAATACTGATACATAAATGATGTATCTTACACTGAGGGAAATGTCCCTAATGTGTGCTAGTCTACTTCAGGTTGGCAGGGATGCCAAGCAATTTGGACATATGTAGTGATATTGGGGGCATGCCCCCAAGTATGGGCATGTTGAATGCAGGTGTTTCTGAAAGTCACCTCCATCATGGGTCCTAGGACCACCCCTCTCCACAGCTGGCACTTTTAAATTGATATATAGGCCTTTATTTAGATTTGAAGCATAGTGAGCCATTAAGACATCTAACCACAGCAGCAAAGTCAGTGATAGCATGTAACTTGAAAAGCTTTCAGAAAGTGAATTTTGATCACTGGTACCAAAGGGAATGGCAGATGACTTTTGCAATTGTTAAGAATTGCCCATGGGTAGAAAAAGAAAGATCTTTTTGAATTGGTCTGGTCCATCTTTATTAACTTCATTAGCATAGCAGAACATGGGATGATCTGGGCGTGGTTTGGTGTGGTTTTGATGTGCTTTTTTGCTTTGTGAGTCACCTAGGACCAGCTATATAACAAGGTATTTCCAAAATGTGGGGGGAAAGTGGAAGGCAATAGGAGCTGTGGTTTACTAGGGACCATAAAATAGTGTCTGTCCCTGATAAACAGGACAGCTGAAGCATATGAGATGAAGCACTTAAACAAAAAACCAAAGATGGATTTGATAAATGCTATAAAAGAAGATTCTGGTACAAAATGAGAAACAATTGCTTTTTCATTCTGTCATTCCTGGCCCTTGACTCAGTCATACAGAATTCAAAGCAGTGTGGATGCTTATTAAGTAAACCATAGGTTATTGTTCTGTGCATGTAGCAAAACAATCAAGTTCTCCTTATGACATGAACATTTTTTGCCTGAGATACTGGCTGCTCTCTCTCTCTCTCTCTCTCTCTCTCTCTCTCTCTGTGTGTGTGTGTGTGTGAGAGAGAGAGAGAGAGAGAGAGAGAGAGATTGCCAAAGTGGGAACTGGGCAGGCCTAAAAGATAAAGCCAGGGGAAAAGAAAACCCTGCTGAGATGAAATAGGCTTGGGAAGCTGTGAATGAAGAAGAATGGAAATAGCTTTTTGAATGTGGTTTACAAAACCACTGTGAATGTTTTGGCAAACTGAATCACAACAGAAGGACTGAAAAATGAATGCAGTTAATGCTGCTGTAGAAAACTTACCCTCTGAGCTCGGGGCTGGCCCAGCCTTTAGGTGAGGCAGCTGGTTCAGGAGGCAGGTGCTGAGGACCATGGAGCAGCATCTGGGTGGGACTGGAGGGCACTAGTGTGTGTACCATGTTGCCAATCCTCATACTTCGCCTGCTGTCTTCTGGTGCAGACAGGACCCTGCAATATATAAAGTGCTGAAATAAGGTGCAAGTGTTGAGAATTCCATTCCTCCCGTGCTGCAGATGTGTGTGGGATTGTTACATGTCACATGTCCGTTTACATTCCAGCACTGATTATGTCTTGTGAGAGGAAATTGATATATGCTGTTTCCGCTCTATATTGCTGTTGTTTTTGCAGTTCTCTCTCTCCGAGGAAGAAAGACAGAGAGAGAAGCCATGTTTCTCTTTGTTCTGTTACGTTTGATTTAATTTGCAATAAATTAGGCTTAGATGTTACTCCTCAAGACTAAGCTTCTGTTTGAACTCTGCTTGTCATGTGCTCATGTCCTGGGATATGGACCACATCAGCGTGACGGGAGACCAGAGTGATGAATCCCGGGCAACACTGTGTTGGGAGGGAGGCACCAGCCTTGGCGTTATCACCCAACAGCAAGCCCAGTCAGCTTTTCTACATGGAATGGGGAATGGGGTCATGTTGTCCTTGGCTTGCAGTGGAAAAACCTCTTTGGCTAACCCTGTTAGGGCTCTATACATGGGTTACATTTTGATCTTGCATTTGGAGCAGTAATATTTGTACTCAATATGGGCCAGCACCATTTTCAACATTTGTGCAGACCTTCCTAAACTTAAAAAATTAACATACTGCCTATAATATATAGTTTATGTTCATAGTCTACTTTAACCCCCCCACATACACAATGAATCAACCATTCATAATGAAATGGTCTTTCTTATTGCTCAAGGACTCACTATATATCATATCCCTGTACATTAAAGAGGTTCCTTACCAGAACATAGGCTAATATTTGGCCATGCAGTTAGTTTGATATCTGATTAAAATGCAAGTGATGCCATTTCTGGCTATAATTACCTCCCCCACCCCCAAAAAATAACATTTTGTTTATTAATTGCAAGTGCATCCTGCCAAAGAGGATGGTTTTAACTACCCAACAAATAAGTGGATTAGGCCAAGATACAGTAATCTACAAACCAGCAGACTTCCAGCCAATTATTTTCCAGTGGTGCCAAAATCATCTCCCACTGCTGCCAAAAGCTAATGCAAGTGAGAAATACCATGAGATACTATCAAGAATTTCATGACGTAGGCAAATATATTTGTTTTTGTTAGGCTGGCAATACAGTACTTTTGTACAGAAATAAGAAGTGCTTTTGCAATCAATCAGATCCAACATATTCCAGTATCTTCCATTTCACTAATCATAGTCTCAATACAGTACCACTCCTTTCCCAACTCTCATCCTTTCCTTGCCTGTCCTCTTTTAACTTCATGTGGATAAGAACTACCGTTTCAATGTCCAATATCCCTTTCAGCTCCAGTAATGTGTCACTCAACTGATAAGGATCTTTCCAGTAAATTCAGTAATATAGTTCCATGTTGTGCAGGTCCGTTTAAATAGACTACAAGTAATCATCCAAAGAAAACGGAGATAAGGAAGATCTATTTTACCTGCCTTTACTGGGGGAACCCATCTACCGGAATTTGGATATCCTAGTAATCTCTTTAAAATTGTGTTCACAGAACTAGTAAAAGGTTTGATTCTTTTTTCTTTCTCAATATACTTCATAAATTACTTTTTGAAATCCAGTGGCCCATCAAAGAATCATAACAACTCAAAAATGTATGAATTGATAATAATGATGATGATTAGTATGAAATTTGACAAGGAAAATCCTACAATAGATTTGTACAGCAAAGCTGTATTAAAGTTGTTAACCATTTGTCATTCTTATTTCAAAATCTGCCTTAACTATGGAATCTTTGGAAAATTCTCTATAAAAATATATCCAAAGAACAATCTGATAAGCTGCATGTTCCATATTGCTAAGGGATTAAGACCCACTGCTGCAATCTTAAATAATCTTTAATAATTCAGAGCAGTAAGGAGATGCAATAACAGTAAAACCCATATTTGGAATCTAAAGCTGGAAAGGATTTGAGAAGCTGAAGTTTATAATAATCTAAATGGATGATAAACTCCCTTAAGAGGTCCTATAAAGAGAGGTGGTGGGCAAGCAGCCATTCCAAACAATGAGTCATCCTTTTCAAGGAGACACAATTAGGAAATACATTGCTTGCAAGAAATTTTTTAACCTGACTATAAGTAACGTTCCATTGAGACATTAAATAATGTTTGCTTAGAATTAAGAGGCACAAGTTCTTTGTTTTTGTAAAAAAAAAACATAAATCCAAGAAAATCCCTTTAGGAATAAACACCTAAAATGGAAATGTGGAAGGTATGTTACAAGGAGAGAGAGGCATTCAACAGGTTAACTCCGCAATGCTTTATGCAGGATCTGTATCAAAGCCTGGACCTGCTTAGTTGATATCAATCCTTCTTGGTTGTGATCTTTAATGAGTTCATTGTGTTTAGGAGTGTGTTATGTCATGAGGAGGGACTGTGGGCTTCTGATAAGATTGCAGTGTGAGAAAGTATAGTGATAAGGGTGGTGGACGTCCCTTACATGCCATTAAGATAAGGCATGGGACAGATGCAAAGCCCCAGGATAGATGAGATATCTCCCTTGTCCACTAACCAGTCCTCTGAAGTCACCAGTCAGGAGAGTAGAAAAGTTTGAGGACATCACCATACAATATTAAAAATAGTATCCAGCTCAAACTGGCAACCTGCAGATGCTGTTTTTGGCCCTAAAAAAAGAACTGCAGAGAAAAATGGCATGGTGCTCCAAGATATGTTGGGTTTGACCCTAATACTTGCCTTTCTTACAGGCTGTTACAATATGAAACAATATAAAGTATGCTGCGCACTTAGGAGAAATGCCATATGAATAAATCTGAAGTATTATTATATAATGAACACAACAAAGTACCCTACCTTGAGTAAAGTAACATGCTATTTTTGAATAATCCCAGTTCACACACACTATTAAATATTTAATGATGTACAGGATGTGGTTTGGTGTGGAGGGACAGTGGATTCTAAACACCAGCATTTGAAAAATAATCAAATCAATTCTCAGTTTCTCAGAACATTCTCAGCATTGTCAAAGAACATATCCCTCTTTGACTTTTCACAACACTCTTCACAATGTATCCATTTACATTGCTCTGACTTGCCTTCACTCTCAGTTGACTTTAATGGGCACCTGCTGAGGTCCACACCCCTGCAGGGACTCTCAATTCCTCCTTGTTATCCTGCCCCCTTTCTGAAAAAGATAGTACCTTAAAATGTGTAGCCCTCTAACCTGGTCCCTGGGGCTCTTATCACGTCTCCCTAATCTCTCATTGCCTGTATTTATCTTTATCATTCTCTCATGCTTTTCTTAACTAGAAAAATTGAAAATATCCATTGCAGTCTTACTAGAAAGCTGCTTTCCACAAGCTTTGCCTTTTGCAGATTACCTTTTAATTTATCTCAACTCAATACCTATAGCACTTCGCTTGGCACATTTTGGCTCGAAAGTTCTCACCTTAATTTCTGTCAGCTGAAGCTGGCTCACAATAATAAAAAAACCACCTTTTGTACTCTAAACCCCTGATCTGGTTTAGCCCAAAGACTTTGTGAAAGGATCTCAGTGCTGTTATTTAGAAAAAGCATCATTCTGTTTTATTTCTCTGGAAGAATACATTCCATTTGAATGTGAATACAAAAGGTGGGCTGAAAAGGATTTATCTTTTTTCATGGAGGGGGAATTAAAAAAAGAAATGCATAATTTATAGCAGCTGCTGTTTGGTGAATATTGATAGGAGCACCGTGTTGTGCAATGAATGTGTGCATACATATTGGACCACCTTTTACTGATACAATGCAATCTTTTGATCATAAAGGAGTCTTCACTGCAGTTATGGTGCCTCCTGGACACAATGCAGATATACTTAGGCCTTTGATAACATGGTGGTAAATTGACTTAATCAATTTATCCTATTAAGTAAAAAAAATAAAATCAATAAAAATCAATGACAGAAGTAGAATCTAACCACGGACCAACTTAGCATGTAAAATGGGGTCACCATATGAGAACTATAACAGGGAATAATTAGAAAGCGAAAAGCACAAAAAGGGGAGGGGGTCAGAGTATGTCCAGTAGAATGAGGAAGAGAGGTAGTAAAGGAAACATGCCACTGAGAACTGAAGATTTACATCTAGGCTTACAGGAATACTTTGAAAGATCCAAGGAGAAAATTATACATAAAATAGATTGTGCTAGAGGAGAAAATAAACAATTTAAATCAAATAATGCAAGTTGTAGAGCAAAAGAATAAATTTGTTGCACAAACGAGCTTTCAAGACATTGCTTGTGCAACACGCAGGGGACCACCTGAAAGATCATGTGAAAGAATCAGAGTATGATATTGGAGTCCTTGGCATTCTTGGGAGCGGACCATGCAGCTGTGCTCCTCACTGACACCAGGGATCCCTTTATATTTTTACTGGTATCCAGGAGTCTGACTCATCTCTTTGCATTGCCATTTGATTTCCCACAATGTCCCAGGATGATGCTCCATTGGGAACATTGTGGGAAATTAAAATGGTGCCACCATCATCTGTTTAAGGCACTGTTGGTGTTGCTGCCTAATCTTGTCACTGCCAGGGTCTACCAAGGGAAGAGTGGTCCTGCCAGAGGGCAGCTTGCCTTGCTAAGGGTTTCCTCAAACCTGCATCTGGACCTGCTTGGAATTATCATACACTTGCCTTCGTAAGGAAGCTGTCTTCCAGTGTGCTCAAGATGCAAGCAGCATACTGCTTTTTATCTGACCTTCAAGTCAGAAACATTTCATTTATTCAATGAGCCAGAATTTGTACATTAGTGGCTTAGTCTGATTCTATATGCATCCAGTAGTTCAATATTTGGTCAAATTGATCTCTTTTCACCTGTAAATAAATCTCTATCATGCTTGGAAATGTATAGCCTTTTTTGAACAGCAAATTTTTATTCAGATCTGACATTTACGTGCATATTACAATCTACGAAGTCAATAGTAAGGTCCATGAATAAACAAAGCACACATTAGACAGC